TGTACCTTACACACTTACAGGGGGCCGGAACTGATAAACGTTATCATCTCTCTCTCTCTCTCTCTCTCTCTCTCTCTCTCTCTCTCTCTCTCTCTCTCTCTCTCTCTCTCTCTCTCTCTCTCTCTTTGTGTGTACGTGCGTGTGTGTGTGTGTGTGTGTGTGTGTGTGTGTGTGTGTGTGTGTGTGTGTGTGTGTTGTGTGTGTGTGTGTGTGTGTGTGTGTTGTGTGTGTGTGTGTGCGTCTCTCTGTCCCTCCCCCTCCCTCCCTCCTCCCTCTCCCTCTCCCTCTCCCTCCCTCTCCCTCCTCTCCCTCCCTCCCTCCCTCCCTCCTCCCCCTCCCTCCCTCTCTCTCTCTCTCTCTCTCTCTCTCTCTCTCTCTCTCTCTCCTCTCTCTCTCTCTCTCTCTCTCTCTCTCTCTCTCTCTCTCCTCTCTCTCTCACTACACACACATACACACACTAACTTTCCCGCTCTCTCTCTCTCTCGTCTTCTATCTCTCGCTTTCTCCCCTATCTCTCATTCTTTCTGTCTATCTATCTATGTCTGTGTGTCAGTTAGTCTCTCTGCCCCCCTCTCTCTCTGTCTCTCATATCTTTCTCTCTCTATCTCTCTCTATCTATCTTTCTCTTTTCCTCTCTCACTTTATCCCTCTCGATTTCACTCTTGAAATTCATTGCATATGAAAAAGACCGCATACATTTCGTTAACGTTATACACATCTACTTATCTATTGCATAAAACGTTAGCAACGTGGATCAATGCAAAAAACCACTCACTTTTCATTCGCATTTATAAGTAACGTGGCGGAACGTTTTATTTTTCAGTGCAGAGGAAATGAAGTCCGTCAAGGTTCTGTTCTTGTGAAAGACACATGAAACTCGCCTTATTGATTGCCATATGTTCATGTTGCGTGAAATGTTGGAGCCGAACGAGATGTCAGGGAAGGAGAGGGAAGTAAACGGAAGGAAGTTGAGCCTACGCCCTCTCCTTCTCGTCCCTCGTTCTCCTCTTCTCCGTTCCTCTCCTTCTCTCCCTCTTTGTTCCTCTCGCCCCTCGTTCTCCTCTTCTCCGTTCCTCTCCTTCTCTCCCTCTTTGTTCCTCTCGCCCCTCGTCCTCCTCTTCTCCGTTCCTCTCCTTCTCTCCCTCTTTGTCCTTCTCGCCCCTCGTCCTCCTCTTCTCCGTTCCTCTCCTTCTCTCCCTCTTTGTTCCTCTCGCCCCTCGTTCTCCTCTTCTCCGCCCCTCTCCTTCTCTCCCTCCGTTCTACTCCTTCTGTTTCTCCTCCTCCCTCCTTCCTCCACCACTTGCTCCTCTTTCGATTTTTATATTCGAAAAGAGAATCAGCGGTGCTTACTGTATCAAAAATTAAGATAGTGCAGCTTGTATGATGTTGGGGTAAGTGTGAGATTCACCACAGCTGTGCTTCTGTAACACTTCCCTGGGAACTCACCTTGCTGGGGCATTCGCTGTATCTCGCCATTTACAGCTGTTCATTGCCAGAACATCAAGTAAGAGCAACATGTTCCTATTGATTTCCGGGTTTTATTATTTTTTTTATTTTTTTTATTTTTTATTTATTTTTATTTTTTTATTTCATTATGATTATTTTTAATGAATATGCCTTGATATCTATTCACCGACAAATGTCACCATTCTGGCTACATTCAGACTATTCTTGACAATAGGCCTGGAAGGGCGTGGCAAGCAGAGGTGCAGGTTCATCGACATGTCTCTAGAGATGAACTGATGGTGCCTTTAGTGGGGCAGATTTTGCTATGCAATTTTCGAACATAGAGATAATTTCCGATATTTATGAATATGTTTGTAACAAAAAATAATTTTCGGTTTTTATGAAACAGGTAGAACTTCCCTCATCGAATAGGTTTGCTATGCAATTTTCGAACATAGAGATAATTTCCGATATTTATGAATATGTTTGTAGCAAGGGAAACAAATTGCTGTCTGCTGCAAGATGCTCCATCTCCATCCAGCTTATTTCGAAAATTAAGTCTTCATGTGTGGGGCCCTGCTGCTTAATATTAATGCACTGAATGCTCCCTACCCGACTGGTCCCCAAGCTTACTTCTCCCAGCGTTACATGGTAGCTTATGCCTTCATGGGAGCATCGTCTCTCTCTCTCTCACCCTCCCTTCCTCTCTCTCTCTCACTCCTTCTCTACTCTCTCTCACCTCCTCCTCTCTCTCTCTCTTTCTCTCTCACTCTCTCACCCTTCCTCTCTCTCTTCTCTCACCCTCCCTTCCTCTCTCTCTCTCTCTCTCTCTCTCTCTCTCACACACACCCTCCTCTCTCTCTCTCTCGTCTGTAAGTACCAGTTTCCATCTAAGACTGAGATGGTAATCCCAAAAGCCCTTTCACTTCTCACTGACGTTTCTCTCGTGGATTTTGACGCTTAGACATTCGGCGATTACGTAGAGGCCACAGATAGATGCTAAACTTGGACAGGTCGTCATGTTGTCTGGAAAATCCGTAATAAGAAGACCTAAAGAGGACTAGGAAGTTAGCATGGTCGCTTAGAATACAAATTGCAAGAATTTCCAGGTCATGATGCAGGAATCACAGAGGAACGCAGTCTTGTCACTGTGGTCTGTGGTACCAAAAGCACTCACACACAGAGCGAGAGAGAAAGGGAGATTGATAGATATTTAATTTATCATGCATTATTATCCTATTCTGCTCTGTAAGGGTGATGAGAAAGAGAAAGAGAGAGGGAGAGAGAGAGAAGAAAGAGAGAGAAGGAGAGAGAGAGAGAGAGAGAGAGGAGAGAGAGAGAGAGAGAGAGAGAGAGAGAGAGAGAGAGAGAGAGAGAGAGAGGAGAGAGAGAGAAGAGAGAGAGAGAGAGAGAGAGAGAGAGAGGGGGGGGAAGAGGAAAGAGAAGGTGAGAAAGAGAGGGAGAGAAGAGGAGAGAAGGAGAAGGAGAGAGAGAGAGAGAGAGGAGAGAGAGAGAGAGAGAGAGAGAGAGAGAGAGAGAGAGAGAGAGAGAGAGAGAGAGAGAGAGAGAGAGAGAGAGAGAGAGAGGAGATAGAGAGAGAGTCGCAATACACTGAAGAGATACTGTATTTTGCAACTTTTTTGTTATTTTGGAACATGACCTTAAGTTTTTACTCAAACGTTTCTCTCTCTATCTCTCCCTCTCCTCTCCTCCTTCCCTCTCTCTCTTTCCTCCCTCCCCTCGCTTTGTCTTTCGTCTTTTGCTTTCTCAGCTCTCCTGCTGTTTTCTCTTATTTTTCCTCTTTTCTCTTTTTGTTGCTTTTAGTTTTCCACATTTTTTCACCTTCTTTTCAGTTGCATGTGTGTTTCCATGACAGCAATTTCATTAGCGATGCGGAACATGCAGTATTCTTTCCTTTTCATCTCCTTGTCTGTCTGTCTGTCTCCCTCTGTGTGTTTCTCATGTCTACGGTTGTCTGTCTGTTTGTCTGTCTGTCTGTTTGCCTCTCTCTTTGTCTCCCTCTGTATCTATCTCATGTCTCCGTCTGTCTGTTTGTTTGTCTGTCCGTTTGCCTGTCTGTCTCTCTGTCTCCCTCTGTGCCTCTCTCGTGTCTCCGACTGTCTGTCTCTGTCTGTTTGTCTGTCCGTTTGCCTGTCTGTCTCTCTGTCTCCCTCTGTGTCTCTATCATGTCTCTGTCTGCCTATCTATCTGACTCTCTGTCTCTCCCAGTCTCTCTCTATTTCCCCTTGTAATCTTTTCTTCATATTCGTTGGCATCATCTTCAGAAAAAAAGAAGAAAAAGAAAAAAAAGAAAAAAAATCTAAACGTCCACCTGCTTAGCAACACGACTGGAAAACCCACTTCCCGATATATCCTTATCAATATTTTATCTTTATACATGTTTTTTTTTTTTTTTTTTTTTTTTTTTTTTTTTTTTTTTTTTTTTACCCTGTTTCGAGTACATGCAACGGGTATTACAACATCTGTGCCTCTCACACCGATAGCGTTTGTTTGACAATTTCTATTTTTAAGATGTTTTTCCTTAGTTCCCACATACATCTACAGTTCCATGTTAGAATTTAAGAAAACGAGACGAAAGTATTATTCGAAATCGGTCAAATACATTTTCTTGTATTCTGAAGATATTCATTTCATATTCATTCTCGTTCATATCTTTTTTACAATTTTCGACATGATGAGAGGTATTACGGTGGTAGTTACGTTTGCTTAAGTAAAGAGAGGATGTTCTATCTATATACGTTCCTTGAATTTGCGTGCGTGTCGAAGAGTGTGCGTGCGTGTGTAATGAAAGAGGAATTATAGAGAGAAATGATGAAATGATGATGGTTACAATAATGATAGTGATAATAATAATGATACTGATGAAGATGGTAATGATAACTATTGTAATGATAATAACGACAATAACAATAACGAGAATGGTGACAATAAAAAAGGTAATGGTATTGATAATGAAAACAATGACAAAAACAGCAACAACATTAGAAATAATAATAACAACCATACTATTACCGCTCCTAATCTCTTTCCAACCATCCCCAATATCTCGCCATCATCATCAAATCCAATCCCTGTTTGACATCAACCCCATCATTTCCATCACTCTTCCTACGCCATCCTCACACAGTCATCAAGGAAGGCTCGATGTGCGCAGGGGGTGCTCTCCCTCCCGCTGCATCGCGCACACTGCAGCAGTCTGCCTCGCGAACTCACTGATATGGAAAGCCTCGGGTCGCGTGAGGGATCCGCACAGGGCAGCAGGGGAGGCATAGGCGAGGGCAGGAGATGAAGGCTTTTGTTTACTCGCTTGTAATTGCGAGGTTATGGTTTCCTCTCTTTCAGCTATGTTTTTCTTTTCTCTTTTTTTTTTGTTTCTTCTTCTCTTTTTCTTTTCTTCTTTTTTTTTTTCTTCTTCCTCCTCCTCCTCTTCTTCTTCTTCTTCTCTTCTCTCTTCTTCTTCTTCATTTTCTTTTCTTTTTTTCTTCTTTTTCTTCTATTTCTTCTTTTCTCCTCCTCTCTCTTCTTCTTCTTCT